TTAAGTGGTTCGCTGGTAGATTAAGTGGTTTGGAGTTAAGTGGTTAGCTGGGGGTTAAGCGCAAGCGCGGGTGAGCATTAGCAGAGTTTCTGACACAAAAAATAGGGTTAATGAAAAAAAACTTTGGCATTTTTGGAAATGGATTTTCAGGCAACTCAATTGCTACAAGACATCTCCAAGGTATATATTTTTTACTTTTGTAAGTGAACCTATACAAGGTACATACATTGTTTACAAGTGTGGGGGTTTCAAGGCGTTTGTCTCACAAAAAAAGCTATATTGCTTGAAGTAAAAGTATTTTCATAAATCAGAGAGTGAGAGACTGTCATTATAACAGTGATAAGCAGCAAGACCTTAAATTTTATAATTCCTCATGAATATAAGTGTATCAACTGTTCGGCCGAAAAATCATTCAATAGGTGTACTTCATTTTGAATGCGAAATAATATTAAGATTGAAATGTAAGAATGAAATTCAATACGCTATCGCAGAAGTGCAAATACGTTTGCTGGGATGGACATTGCAAATGGACTCTAACTGTAGCCACTTTTATCTGTTGTCCATACCAAAGACAGTATCCAATCTGGATATGGAACTCAATCGCGAGGTTGGCCATTTGCTGATGACTGGGGGAGAGAACCCGAGAACGATTATCTGCAGAGGAACACAGTGGCTATTGTGCAAACTGGAGCATCCTCCCACAAGCTAGAGCTGAAACTCCTCCGTAATGTGACTAGCACTCGGGTCGGGGAACTAATTGGCTAGTCTCGGCCTCGTCTCTACTTCGGTCTGCGCGGAACAAGTAGCGCGAAAGGTCTCGCTCGCAGAATATAAGCAAACTTTCCCCAATCCACAATTGCTTTTTCAAACAATAAAAAGCACATAGTTTCTCGCATTATTTATATTTGTTTCGCAATTTTTGAAAAATCAGAGAATTTAACGAAAAAGTGACCTGTGCTAGTTTTCAAGTCTCCTTTGTTCTATCCGTGGCAAAAAAGAAACAATATTGACCCATTTGAGGGAAAATGTATTTTTATAAATTCCATTAACTTGAGAAATTACGCGAAAACTACTTGTTTAAATAATATCATCTTTACATGGTTTTTTAAAGATTTATTTCAAATCTTTATTTCAATACGCATGGCTCAACCAGTGCTTTTGGATCTTCAGTGTATAATGTATATGAACAAGATTTATCTAATTTTTCGTTATCAGGGTAAAGCAATGAGAGTTTTGCGGTCGAAAAATAGCTGGTTTCCAGAATATAATTACATACGAGACGTTTCAGCGATAATGGAGTGTACATTATATTTTCATCTTTCATCCTTAATTGCGTCTGGAGAATGTGCTGATCACAAAATTTAGTGATACCCACCAGTTTTGCATAGTCTAAGCTGTAATAATTAAGAATAAAAAGAGAAACTGTGTCCGAAAGGTTTTGTATACCCATATATCATTACGGTATTATTTGCTTTTATTTGTTGCCGATCTCCCAGTCATCTCTTCTTTAGTAGTCACTAAAATGATAACGATCAATTAGTTATTGAATAGATCTTCTTCCTCCTCCGTGTAACTCCACTTAGACACACTTATTGTGATGCCTCTTAAATCAATTTCGCCACAAAAGCGCTATTTTCACGAAGGGAATCACAATTAAAATAAGATTCGTTCATCACGTTTCGTTTCGTTTGCTTCGCGTCTGACGAGACGAATCATTACGTATGCGACGAAAGCTGCAAGTGTGAAGCGGTGTACGTGACGAATGAAAACCAACACCCATTACCCCTCGAAGACGACAGCGATGTTTGGCGTGATGCATTTCCACACGAAACAAAATGAATAGAAATTTACCACTGAACTGCAAGTGGATTTATCACTCCTTTATGCAATAGCAGGACGGGAACACATATAAACTCTAAAGTGAAGTTTTTATGACGGAAAAAGTAAAATATGGATCGAGATATATACTTGAACTTGAAGGCGATGCAAAGGGTACCGAATGATTTGAATAACGGAGTGCAATGGTCTTTTAACATATTTTGAATTTTATCATATGGCATTTAATGAGATGAAGATCGGATGGTATTAGATGAGATTTAATTTAATCGAGTTATCAGTTTCGAGAAGTTATTAATATTCCCAAAAGACCGATTCAAACCTCCTGAACCTCTAGGCATCCCTCTCATCCCTATTACCTTCTTACTTTCTTCTATATCAGTTAAAACCTAAAATTCAGAGAGGAAAACCAATCTAGCGGTAAGTATAGCCATATCCTAAAAGGCTTGTATTATAATGTAATCCTCGAAACACCAAAGTGTCGAATGAAAATCAAAAAATCAAAAGAAGTTATCACAAGCTCGGAACAGAGGAAGGTTTTGGAGAGACTTGAGTCCTGGAGGAAAAGACGTTCTCTTAAGAGCTTACGTGCCAGAAGACGAAAAGGAAGAAAATGATATAAACCGAGTTTCCTCAAGGATTTGTTAGCTTATTATCTGGAATACGACTCGTTTCCGGTAGAGTGATCCTGAATTGATAGCAGTGTGCGAATGGATCTGGGCAGTGCGGCGGGGAGATCTCCCAAGGCAGCCCGTCGCAGCACCGGCGAGGCCGCGTGGCCGCGGCGGCCAAACAGACTTCGGCAACCCGCTTAACGCGATGGCGCTGCGCCCAGGCGCCCTCGTCTGTTGCAGTGGCGCCCGGCGCTTCTCTGCAGTCACGTAACTCAATTTTCGTCAAAGCTGCTCAAACAGGGTTGTTCGCAACAGTTACCCGAGTTGCGTTTACTTGGACCCTGACCGAATCGTGAACGAAGTAATTGTCTCTCGAGGGAGCGCAGTACTCCATTCAAACTGCACGCTCTGTTTGGGGCGCGTCATATATACGAATAGTATTGCTGTTTTAGGAAAACTGCTTAGACGGAGTTTTTTTCTCGATGCCGTAAATTATTTCAAGTTTGGAGCTGGCACTTGATGGACGAAAGATGAAAAACGTATTCGGAAGGGAAAAGTAAACTGATAATGAAAAATAAAACTATTTTGTGTCCACTTCAAATAATACATTTGTTTTTATTTTCTATAATACGAACAAATGTCATAATATAGTGTTATTTAAAACGAATTATTAAAAATATAACTGAATAAATGAAACTGTAAAAACTCCTGAGTATTGATGAAGCACCAATACCGATTTTACAAATAAGATTTGTCATCGGGAATCAGGCGAAACAAATCTCTTCATAATATTCCAACACAATTACTATTTTTTCAATAATTCACAAAATACTGCTGCAAAAGTATCTACTCTGCAAAAAATGTAAGTTTGTTTGCACATTTTCTAGCGCCGTTAAAAAAAAGTGATGAGTTTCTCTTTTTCTTTTTTGTGCAAAGCGAAATACTGGGACTCGATTAACCGCCGCATTCAAGAAGCGATATAAAATACGCCTCTCCAGGCTTCCCGAATAAGAAACGTAATGATCACTTCCGGCCTTTTGCGTTTCAATTCAAATCCAAATGATTGCGTGGAGCACCAGATATAGAAATTGCCCACAATTTCAAGCCGCTTACAACAGAAGCGGTTTCAATTTTGTGCATCCTTTGCTTTGCGTTATTACTACCTCAAAGTTTAAAAAAATGCACACGTTAAGGATCATACTTATACTGAGGATTTTCAGTTATTTATAGTTCAATATCCTTTCCGTCTCTCTGCTGGCTGTGTTTTTAAAGACGATAGTAATAATTCAATTAAATTGTAACTGTTTGATGTGAAATTCACAGAGAGATGATGCGTTGTACTGATGCGAACTGAAATGTCACGGCAGCAAGGTGGGCACAGTACTTCAACTTTTGACATATTAGTAGTTAATTAATTCTCAAAGACCTAATGAGTCGATATTAAATGCAACATAGGTAGTACACATAGCAATATTACCAAAATCAGTTATTTATCAGTTTCTTAGAACATAACTCCGAACAAAATTAGTAACCGCACTTTTAAATCGTGTATTGTGTTTGGAGATTTCAATTTTGATTTTCTTGGTAAATCTCGCGTAAAAGAGCAATTTATCAATTTAATTAATTCTTTTAATTTAGATATCACAATGAATGTGCCTACTCGGAATACATTTAATTAAAAAAGAACAGTAGATCAAATCATAACATAGGCACACACACAAAAAAAAAAGTTGTCACCCCAAAAGCTTGACATGTATGTCGACGCGCTGAATCCGAATCTGAAACCACAATTGCACCACCACCTTCCACTATTTTTTCTGTGACCCCCCCCATAAAAATTGTATTTTCTGTTTTAGGGAGTTAGATTGTGAGACACTCAGATTTGGAGCATTTTTCTCCAAGAATTTTGACGCGTTGAATCCGAATCCAGAATTGCACTACTACCTTCCATTTTTTAATCGCGAAAACCACATGTCAGTACTATATTTTGGTGAATTTATAGGGTGGTGTTTTTGGTGTATTTTGGTAGCATTATATTCACCGGAAGCCAAAAGTTGTCAGTCCCAAGACACACGTTTCTCTTTGTATATCGACGACCTGAATCCGAATCCGAAGCAAGAATTGAGCCACCACCGTTCACAATTTTAAATAGCAAAATACCACCCTGAAATTTGCAATTTACAATTTCACGGTGGCTTTCCGCGATAAAAAAAACGGAGGCTGGTGACCCAATTCTGATTTCAGATTCGGATTCAACGCGTCGAAATATGTAGCAAAACATATGTCAAGTCTTTGGGTCTGACAATTGTTTTGTGTGCCTGTGCAGTTAACAAAACCACAACTAGAAATGAAATTATGACAAATGATCTAGGTTACAGTGACCCCGAAGAACAAAGACTTACAATTTATAGTTAATTGAACACTGATCCTATAATACACGCGTGTGTAGGTAATTAACTAAACGAGAAATAAGAACAGCGTAAAAACAAACTTCCTCATTACATTATTTCTGAACATTATAATGCTCGGTTTCCGTGTCTACTTCTGAAAATACAAAAGCATTTTATGTTACACATTCTGAATTCTTCGAATTATGTCAGTCTTTATGCAAGCTCGTTGCGTGCATGTTGCAAATGTACATTCCGATTAAGATTTGGCGTAATATTCTGGGGAAGCTCATACCACAATACCTAGACTTTTAGATTAGAGAAAAAATATTCAAATAATAAGCGAGTGCCATCCATGTGATTCCTGCACGACTCTCTTCAGTGAGCTTGCTATCTTACTAACGCATTGCATGTTTATTTACGATTACTTGTTGCAGGTGTATCAAGTTTTTTAAAAATTATATAATACAAAAGTAAACAAAAGTATTGCATCATTGTCAAAAAATTGTATTTTTTTATGGTCAGTATTGTCTCTAATTGTATAAAAACAGTTCTGTAGCACAAAAGGATTTCCTTTGGACTTAAATTTGTGCATCGATTTTAATTGTTTAATGTCATCTGGCAATGTATTGTAAAATAACACACATCTATTATATGTAGATTTCGTATGGTGAGTTATTGATACTGATACCTAATGAATGTAAATTCTGCGACACGAGTTGTGATTATAAATCTCAGAACTGCATGGAAATATGTTCCCACCATTAAGTCAGTTTTGGAAAATCTACAGAGCTCGCAGAAGTGCCGCAACACGGCGTGGCAGGGAATCGACCCATGTCTGAAATAGTGCTGGAGGTAATTAACACCATGGATCCTGCAGGGCTGTCCATAAACTCGTAAGAGTACGAGGGGGTGGAGATCTCTTCTGATCAGCACGTTGCAAGGCATCCCAGATATACTCAATAATGTTCATATCTGGGGATTTTGGTGGACAGTGAAAGTGTTTAAGTTCAGAAGAGTGTTCCTACAGCCACTGTGTAGCAATTCTGGACGTGTGGGTTGCCGGATTGTCTTGCTGAATTGCGCACGTTCGTGGGGACGCACAATCGTCATGAATCGGTGCAAGTGATCAGACAGTATGCTTACGTACGTGCCACCTGTCAGAGTCGTATCTCGACGTATCAGGGATCCCATATCACTCCAACTGCACACGCCCCGTACCATCGCAAAGCCTTCACCAGCTTGAACAGTATCCTGTTGACCTGTATGGTCCATGGATTCATGAGCTTGTCGCCATATTTGTACACGTCCATCCGCTCGAAACAAAGTTATATGAGACTCGTCAGACCAGACAACGTGTTTCCAGTCATCAACAGAACAACGTCGACGTTGACAGGCCCAGGCAAAGCGTAAAGCTTTGTGCCGTGCACGAGTGGCCCTTCGGCTCCGAAACCCCATATCGATAATGTCTTTGGAATAGTTTACACGCTGACACTTGTTGACGGCCCGGCATTAAAATCTACAGCAATTTACGAAAGGGTTGCACTTCTGTCACGTGTAATGATTCTCCTCGGTCGTCTTCAGTCCCCTTCTTGTATTGTCTTTTTGCAGCCGCAGCGATGCCGGAGGTTTGATGTTTCACCGGATTCCCGATATTCACGGTACACTCGTGAAATTCTCGTAAGGGAAACCCAAATTACATCGCGATCTATAGCTATGCACCATCTCTCTTGCGCTGACTATAACACCTCGTTCAAACTCACTTAAATCGTTATAACCTGCCATTATAGCAGCAGTAACAGATCTAACAACTGTGCCAGACTATGGTTGTCTTTTATAGTCGTTGTCGATCGTATTCTGATGGGTTCCAGATCTTATTAATTCCATTCGCAGGGCTATAGCAGGAATTTTTTATCTTCAGTGTACTAAAAATGAAAATCTTTGGTTCATTCATCAAACAACTATTCCAGATGAAAATGTGAAAAGAGATTACAGACCTCAAGAAAACGTGCGAAGGTTGTACTTTTTCTCCATAGGTCGCATACAGTTTTTACTGTTTAAATAAATAAATCAAACCAAATGAAATAGTTCTTCACTGAAATGCTTTATCAAAAACTGAATTTTATTTAAGATTTTTAAGTTAACACCTGCACCGTTTTGTAAATGATAACGCGATTTATTTCAAATCGTTTGTTTCAAACCGCTTTCTTGAAATACCTACTCAAAACCAACAGCGTACATATTCACCGCCAACAGTAGTTTTTGCAAACAACACAGTCCTTTCTTGGTCGGGCGGGCGTTCCCAGCTCCACTTGGAAGTAATGCACGCACCAGAGCGAGTCCGCGGCGGCTGCGGTGGCTGCAGCTTGCTCGCGTTTTTCTCTTCGGGGAGCGCGCGGCTGCGGCGGCGCAGGGGTTGGCAGGGCGCGGGCGGCGAAACGAGCCTTCGGTTGCGTCCGGATAACGACAGCGGCGCCGCGCGGGGGAGGGGGGGGAGCTGCGCAGACGCCGCCGCCGCTTCTGCCGCCGCGCACGATTGTCGGCCCCCGCCCAACGGAGGCGAAGAGTGGGGCTCGGAGGGAGAAACAAGAGAAGAGAACAGAGAAGAGGCTGAGAGATGAGGCACAGAAAGAATGTGTCGAAGAGAGGAGAGGAATGGACAGTGGGAGCGAGGAGGGTAAGCGAGATAGAGAAGGGGAAGAGCAAGGGGGTACGAGGAGTTGGAAGATGAGGAAGAATTCCGATGATATACGGCGTGGGCAAGGAGGAATAATGGGAGGAGGAGGAGGAGGAGGAGGAGGAGGAGGAGGAGGAGGAAGAGGAGAGGAAGGAGAAGGAAAAGAAGTGGGAAGAGGTTGAGAAAGTGGACGATGAGAAGGGAAAGAGCTGCGGTCGAAAAGGTGTAGAAGGAAGTCGAGATGACATTATGTTTTTAAAAAGCTCAGAATGTGAATAATAGTAGTAAAAAAGACATAAAGAAAATGCGACAAAATGTACGTAAATATAAAATAAATTTAGGAAACTATTTTATTTCTCCGATTATCATACTGTAAATAAATACCTACATTTTTTCATTATTTTTAGTAACATTTCTTTCATCTAGAGGCACTGCTTAGATACGCTGATATTCATTAAAAAGTTCATTTTTAATTTTGACATCTTTACTTTAAATCACTTGCTAGAGACATAATTTCTCTATCAAATACTTTTTTCTAATCTAACTTCACCGTGAAGTCATAAAACGTTCGTCTACTTCTTCTTTCAATTGCTTGCATTCCTTCTAGGCATTTAGCGACTCTCCTCTTGCAGAAAACGAAAGGGGCTCGGAAGGAGGATTTTCAGGGCCAATGACTTGCACAACGGAAACGGCAAACACTCCGGCGCAGCCACAATCGAGTTTACATTCGCGTCGCGGGCATTGCGGGCAGAGCCCGTGCGCAACGAATCGGATAATATTCCGCGTCGCAGGCCGGGGCCGCTTCCGTTTCCTTGAAGGCGCACTGCGCGCTCTCTGTCAAAGGCGACGCAATCCGCTCGCTGCCCCTCGCGCCGCCTCGCGTCGCGTCGCGTCGCGTCGCGTCGCGTCGCGTCGCGTCGCGTCGCGTCGCGTCGCGTCGCGCCGCTGGCAGCGCAAGCGGAGGCGAACGCGGCGCAGGATGTGGGACGGAAGAGCGCGTTGGGAAGGGAAACGGGGCAGCGGGGATGGAGGCATATTGCTGCTGAGTCCAGACGCTCACGAGGGATGCAGTGTTCGCATGGTGGGCGGGGTGGCGAGCAATGGCGACGGTGCGGGCGGCGGGGGTGAATGGGATGCTAAGTGAAGCGGGCGATGAGTTGGTGGTTGTTACAGTTGGTCGATCGATGGTTGTGGTTTATAGTGGAGTATTCTAGAGTGATGGTGTAAGTGTAGTGGTGGCGGTGGCGGGTGGTTGGAGTGGTTGGTGGTAGTCAGTCGTGGTCGAGTAAAATAGTTGTGTGGTAGATACTGATACGGTGGTTGATTAGCTCGTGGGTGGTAAGCATAGTGGTAGTGATATAGTGGGTGGTGATAGAATGGTGTAGTTGTGTGTGATAGTGGTGTCGGTGGATATGTGTGTCGTGGAGGGGTGGTGAAATGGTATAAGTGAAGGCTAGGTGATACGGCGCGATGGTATAGGGTGCTGAAGTGGATAGTAGGTCGTGTCCGATGGCAAGTCAGCAATTGTCACATAGACGGAGGGGACTTCCCCACGACCGCGAACGAACGTAGGGGGGGGGGGAGCGGGCGGTTCGTGCGTAGAGGAGAGGACGCGAAGGGCGAGGGCCGTGGGCTGGGAAGGCGCGGAGGGAAGGGCGGGCTTGAGCTGCTGTCGCGCCGCACGAGCGACCCTACCGCGCCCAATTAGGCCTTTGGGCAGCACCGCCAGGCCCGTCGCTCGCCCGACCGCGACCTCCCGGATCCGTAGGACGTGCTCGCCCATCTACACCGGCCACACGTCCGCACCTTGGCTCTCCACGCGTCCGCTAGGCACCCGCCTCTTCCATCAAATCTCCTGCACTTTTCTACATCTTCTCCGTTGCTGAAGTAAGTAAAAAATTTGCATCTATGAAATCTCCAGAGATATTCTTTTATTTTACGTATCCAGTTCAATTTTTTCATATAAGCTTTCACAGTCATTCTTTTTCTACGTCTCTTCTTGAAAATCATACTTGTTGGCACATTGACCGCCAAATTTCTTCAAATTTGGTGCAAAAAAAGTATGTTTGATGTTATTTGAAGGCGTCTCGGAGGAAAGGATCATACATTTCAAGCTTCGCGCTCAGGAGAGACTAAATCTACTGAAAAAAGCCGCGAGAATTTCTTCCCGGTTGACCAAATACTCACTTCTTTTGTACAAAGTTCCTTGACGTAGCTTGTCAACGGTTTCCTGTTAGTTCGGAGCGTCACCGACAGACCGCATCAGCTCCTGGGCAGCTCCGCGTAAAATCTACCATTGTGAAATTTTCGCAGAACCCAGTGATTTCCACTTCAGACGCTACGACGCGCCATCAGCTCGCATTGTCATCAGAGGCACTGGATGCAGTCGTAACGTGAAGTAAAACGAGGAAATTCGTAAAGAAACGATCAATTTCGCCAGGACAGAGGCAACCGTCAGAATCTCTTCAAGACTCGTTAATTCTTTTTCCAAGTAACAATCTTTCTCAATTGTGTGTCGTTTCTTTTCAAGAACACTCTTGTCTGATAAACTACCGATAGAAGAGGCGATGTTTCGTTGCAGCTTCTACTAATTGCTCTCCCAACTTATCGTACGAGTATTTCGCAGCTTCAACAATACTTTTAGAGTTCTCAAGAGTTTTGTCTGGTAATTCTTATTCATTTACTTTCCGTTTCATTAATGTATTCTTTCTAACATTTTTTTTGAATTTTGCAATCCCTGCTTGCTCGCATGTTCCAACGTCACAACATTCCTCGGAAAAAGTAATGCTCGTAGGATGTGACATGGCTTTTACTCGTGTTTGCTATGTCACTTGTGTTGTTGTTTTTTCCTAGACTTTGTTTTGGATATTTCACTTTCCTCTCTGTCTCATTTTTATTAGTTTTCACATTCCCTTACAATACACCCGCAATCTATTACAGTTAATCTCACTTTCTGGTAAGGCAGTTTCAATCATGTCATCCGTTGCACTGTAAGTCGCTTGTTCACAATCCCAACGTACTCCACCGACCATTTGCCGGCTGAAGGCAAACCGCCACGGCTATCGCCTTCAGCCCACTAAGGGTCTTCCCCCTCCCCGATCATTCGCAATTAGAATGCATTATGTCGTTATTCCCGCGCACGCCCACCCAAGTGCAGTTTATTGTAAGAGGACACTAGAGGACTTCTATGAATTGCTTTAATCTTCAGCAAAACACCATCACCATTTTTCTGGACTTTGCATCACTTCAATGATTCGTAATATAAAAAAAAGTACATATGGTATTTAGAGAGTCAAAGCAGACATAATATGAAAAATTGCAAAAAGAACTAGTGGTGTTACAGAATTGGCAGAGATTTTCCCGCATTAGTTTTCTATTTCTTTGGGTCTCGGTTCCTTCGAACAAGCCACATACTCTTGCCTGCTGCCATCTACCACCGACCAAAGTACATTTTTTGACATTTTCTTAATTTTTCGGTTTCCTAATTGTAGAGCGGAAATATTATATTAAGATTATTAAAGAATAGTAAAACCTCGTCCTAAATGGCAATTTTCTTTGAAAAAGTAGGAGCCGCTTTTAAAAAAAATGTGTTTAAGCGCTATTGAGCTAAGAAAGCTAAGAAAATTGTTGAGTTTTCGAAAAACTTAATTTGAAGTTCTTTGAAGTAATTTAACTCATAAATACAATAGCGTTTACAAATTACTGGAAATGTGCATCTAACGGCGTGAGATAACTTAAAAAAATACATTTGTGTAATTTTTAAAAATCAAGAAAGTACACACAAATTACCTTTACATATATTAAAGAGTGCAATTATCACTATCTGTATGAAATGTTTGAAGAAAAAATTGATGCCGTTTTTGAGAAAATGCGGAATTTTGAGCTAATTTTCACAGAAAACTGTGAATTTTTCGAGAAACTTTATATGAAATTATTTAAAGTACATATACTCATACATACAATATTGTGAACAAATTGCCCCTAATATAAATATTAACAACATGAGAGGTAATTTTTGAAAAACAAAAGAATATAGCAACATGGCGTTTATGTTATCCTATAGAGTACCTTTAGCACTATCTCTACCAAATATTTAAAGAAAAAATTTGAGGCCGTTTTTGAGAAAATATTGTTTTTGTAATTTCGTAAAATTGCACATATTGCACATATTTCGCAATGTTACGCGAAAACCAAAAAAGTTCAAAAAATATACATGGCTTAATGAAAGAACTTACTACGAAGAACAAATTTTATTTGAAGGAAAAATCTTTAATTTTAATTTTGTAGTTGTACGAAGACGTCCGAAAAATTTTGAAAATTTCCTGCGGGCTTCAAGTTAAGTACCCCCAAATTTTAAATACTTTTTTTCAAAATCTCAAATATTTTACTCGAGCCAGATCGACATGCGTTTCCTCAATTTGGAAAAAATTCTACGCATGGGTTAGGCGCTAGTACTGTTCACAGACACCAGTCGGACGTCTTGAAAACAAAACACTTTTTTCGGTATTAAGGGATCCCAAAACGTGTATTTTCGTTGAGACCACGAAATCTATTTTCCGCAGCATTTCGTAACTTTCCATATTCTACGTATATTACTCAGTATGTACGTACGTATACGGGAAAGTAAAAACGTCATAAATTACATAGTAGATTGCTGGAAGCAATCGAAAAGATAAGTATCGATGACCATCATTAACACCAATAATTTTGAAATTAATAAATTTAATGCAGTGTATGCCTTTCGAAAGACTCCAAATGAGCTATTATTTTCCACAAAGAAACAAAACGCAATTGTTGAAAAACTGATTTACACTCAGGACGCAGACAATGAAAACGATTGTCTATTCAAGCCACATACTCGCAAAATGCATATTTTTGTAAAGCAAACATTTGTATTTACTGTCCAAATTAATTTTCTCGAACAATAAGCTTAAGCCTTTGTTAACGCATTTTGTAGCGTTCTACAGTGGGTGAATAGATCACGTAAATAGCTTTGCACGGTGCAATGACTTCATCAAGAATCAATGTAACACATCGTGCAATACATTGAAGCGAAAAGCATTCGTTCCACGCGAATTCGTAACTCAACATTCTTCGAGGCCGTATTTAAAGAACGTCGCCGGAAGGTTGGTTCCAACGCAAATTCCCCGAGGAGGCGAGGCGGCTGTGGAGCGATGCGACGCGAAATGAAGCTTTCCCTACGAGGCACAATACATCAGCCCGGAACAGGGGTCTGCATTTCCCGCCGAGCGACGGATCGGAATGAGACGGAGGAAGCGCGGGGGCGGGGGCGGGGGCGGGGGAGGCGTTGATGAGTTTTAAAATGGGCGCCGCGACGGGCAGCTCATTAGAAGACGTACGCCTCGGCAGTGGGTGGCTGATGAGGCATGGGCGGGAGTTGGGTGTTTCGTAAATGCGCGCCCGCCCGTCTTCCCGCCTCGTCGCCTCCGCCACCCTCGCGACGATTTCGCCCTTCCGGCGTCGCGGCACCGCGCTTTGGCCGCCGCCCTC